TCCAATTTCAATTGATTTTTACTGCTTTATCTGTTCATTTTGAGTTGTGCCTCACCATTAAATGAAGGTACCATGGGCTTTTATCCCACGGGCTTTACTCCATTCGCGTCAACTCTACTTTGAAGAGGCAGCTCTTCCCTAGTTGCATTTTGAGTGTTTTTCAACCTGAGGGACTCATTTTTCAGCACTCTGTCTTACAGTGTTTCTCTGCTATTCATAAGATTTTCACTGACTAAATGTTTGTAAGTAGTCTGTCTTTGTTTGGAAGCTCAATTGAAACCTGTTTACCATGGTTGATCCTAATGTGCATTCATAATCATAAAAAACTACTATGAGTATGATTTTAATGTCCTCTTTCAGCTTCTTGACTTCAAAGCTTCCTGATAGATTTCAAGATGCCACTGTTGATTGTTTTGCTATACCTCAGGATTTATTTAATTTTTGTCCTGTTTTGTTTTTAAACTCTGTTTCCCTCTCCACACCCCTTGTTCTGGTCTTTTCCCTATTAAACGCACTTCATGGCTAGCTTTGGCCTGAGAGTATCTGTTTGCAAGCATGGCAAAAGAACCCACTAGTGGAGGTGGTGGTGGGGTATCCATTTGCTCAGGCACCCCTCTAGTCACCATAATGGAGGTGCACAATCAGTGGGGGGCCAATGAACCGATACCAAAAAAAAAAAGAAAAAAGAAAATCAGAACAAAGCAAAATCGAGAAAGTGTATTATCCACCTTTCTTCTGAGATTCCTGTGATGTTATTCTGTTGTGGGTCTGCTCTCCCACTTGGTCTTGCTGTTTGGTCTCGCCCAAGTTTTCGTTGCTGGGCTGCCTAGCTCGACAGATTCTAACATACGTGATTTCTTACTTTTGCTACAAGTTCCACTAGCTATAAGCCTTCAAACTTTTAAAATATTTCTACCTATGTGGTTCAGAGTTTTGGAGCTCTTCCCTGAACTCGCTTCACGTAGTATTCTGTGGTATTGCTGAAGACAAACTTCACTACACCTCTACCATATCTTCCATCAAGCCTCGCCTCTGATTTCCATCCTCTTTTGACCCTAATAATTCAAATAACTTGTACATACTGTCATGGCACTTGAACCTGTCCTCAGAACTATATCATCTACCTCATTCCTCTGAATTCTGATCTGACTAATTTATATCTCTGTTTTAAATGGGGCAAATGAATTGTAATTCATGCTTTTAAAATTATTTTCTTAAAATGTTTTGTTTATGAAAAGCAAATTTAACAAAATACTGAAAAATAAAATTCAAAGTTGTTTTTAGAATTGCAGATATCTCTTCAAAATTAAGTAACAAAGTATGTTACATGCTAATACAAATGCAATTCCTCATTAATATAAATTGTTATGGCCCCATTTCCTATACTAATGCATAAGCAGACTATTTAAGTGCCATGCAGTCCTTTAGACTCATTGTGGTTGTTGTTGATAAATGCATGGAGCAGGTTCTGACTCATGGAGTTTGCAAGGAGAGAATTCATGCATTTAATATTATGTGATTGGTTAAGAATTGTAAAATGTCAACTTTTTTTCTCTTGGTAACATCAAGATTTAAAGTTGTATGTAGTCTACAGTATTGCATCAATTCTGAATTTAATTGAATTGACTTATTCACTCACAATTGCCAACTCTCAATGAAAATTTCCATTTTCTCTTGAATCAAATCATGGCATATTGAAAACTGGCAAGCTATTATGAAGCTATTAGTTTAGGAAAAGATAATGATAAATAAAATGGGCGTATATGTTCTATAGGGAGCACAGCGGTTCCATAGAATAAGCACAGGAATGCAAACCACAAGGTTGAAACCCATTAGCCACTCTGTGGGAGAAAGATTCAGCTTTCTTCTGCAAAGATTTAAAAAAACTCAGAAACCCTATACAGGGCCTCTGAGTCAAAACTGATTCAGGGACACTTAACAACCAACTCATCGTCACTTAACAACAACACCAACATGTCCGTTAGAGTTGTTTTGTCTCCTTTTTGGTATCAGGAGCCTCCTGTCTTTTTTTCTCCTGGAGGTAATGTTTTTGCTTTGTGAAGTGATATATCTTTGGACTGTTGATCTGTATTGGATATAAACCATCAAGGCAGGATTCCTACTGAATATCAAAAGTCATTACAGGAAAATAAAATCTAAAATATATTTGTGTTTCATTTTATTACTATAATATTTTTATTATGTAAGATCTAGTACTACTGACAGACCCAGCTTTGTGTAGTTGAATGTTTCAGTTTTAAAGTGAACCAGTTCATTCAGAGAAGAGTAGATGTTTTTCTAACAGATTAAAAAAAAAACTAATGAAGGATGCCAATGACATTTTTTTTTTTTTTGTAATAGTTGGGAGCTTTTTGAACATGTAGCATCTGAGGCCCAACTGAAACAAACTCTTCTGTGATTCTTATGCAAATTAATGTTTGAGAAGGATTCTTTTAGTGTCTGTATTATCAAAATTAAAAAAAGAAATATATTCATTTTCAAGGGGGTAGAGTTTTTGTTGAATGTCAACCAGTCAATTCTGACTCATAGCAACCCTGCATAGGGTTTCTAAGGAGCAGCTGGTGAGTTTGTCACAAGTATTTTCTCTAGGATGGACTGAAAGTGTACATTTTGCAAGAGTAGCAGTTGTTTATTTTTTGTGATTCCTTTTTGAAGACAGAAACTCCTGGAGGGTTAGTGTCTATAACCAGAGCTATTTGAATATTAAATATATACGTTGTTGTGGTTGAGTGCTGTTGAGTCAGTTCCGACCCATAGTGACTTGATATATGGAATCTGAGGCGCGACTAGTGAGCTTGAACTGCCAACCTTGTGATTCAAACCAAATTTGCAGACTAGGACATTAACCCACAGCACAACATAGAGGTTTTAAATAACTATCATATTTGCATTTCCAGTACACATATCTTATTACCTTGTAAAATGCAATATAAAATATATGAAAACCAAAACGCTAACATACATATAATTGATTGACAAAATATTCTAGACAGGCCATCTCTTTCTTGGAAAGTATGGCTTTAGGGACTTTGGTGCATCGGTGGTGTCAATGTTTTGAAATTTATTTAAATCTGGATTAAATTTCAAGGTTTCTGAGGGGCAACTAGTTGGTTTGAACCACTAACCTTGTAGTTAACAGTCCAGTGCTTTTCCTACTGCAGCACACAGGACTCCTCAGCTTGCAGTAGTTGCCAACAATCTTTGGTGTTGCTGGGCTTGCAGATGCATTTGTCTCCATTGTCACACAGTGTCTTCCCCATATGTGTTAGTCTCTGTGTGATTTTAATCAGTTGGTATTTATTGCTAGATTTTTTGTTAGTTTTTCCACCAGGGTTTCTTTCAAAGTGCCCCTGGGTAAACCCAGACTTTCAGCCTTTCATTTACCTCAAGTGGAGTCCTGATGTGGCGCTGTGGGTTAGTTAATGCACTAGACTGTAAGGTAGGTTTGAACCCCAGGGTCAGTGGTTCAAACTCAGTAGCTGCTCCTCAGATACCCTACAGGGTCGTTCTGAGTCAGAAGTTAATGACAGTACTTAATGACAACAATAGGTCAATATGAGTTAGAACATACTCGCTGACTAGATGACACTTAACAGCAACAACAGTAGTTCATTAGGAGTCCAGGTATAGCACTGTTGGATAAGTATTGGACTGCTAACCACAAAGTCAGCAATTCAAACCCACAAGCCATTCCTTGAAAACTCTATACAAGATCACTGTGAGTCTGAACCAACTCAAAGATACTTAACAATACCTCATTACAATTTTTACCTCCCAGAGATTACTTTGTATCTTTATAAAATGCCACTAAGAATGGATTAGGTGTAGGACCCACTCTAACCTTTATAAGGTGGCATACTGGTTTACAATGGACTACTAACCACAAAGTCAGCAGTTTGAATCTACCAGCTGCTCTGTGTGAGAAAGAAGTGGCTTTCTGCTCCAGTAAAAATTTCTAGTCTCTGAAACCCTACATGGGGTGTCTATGAGTCTGAATTGACTGGATGGCATTGTGTTTTCTAACCTTTATGTTACCTCATCAGCATAACCAAAGGCATCTACTTTAGTGACAGGTCCCAATTCATAGCAGACTTCATAAGAGAAATTCACATGCTAGTTGTAAATGAACACTCCATTGTTTCACCATCATTTATAGAACTTTGCTTTATTAAATAGTATTAAGAGGTAAACACAGGGTAGAAGTATATTTAGAGAGTTTTTAGGTTTTAGGATAATGATTTTGAGAGTTCTGAAAAATATGGGTCATGTACTATTTATTATAAAGATCAAAGACCTGAGACATAGTAGTTTCCTAAATAAATGTTGATATTAATTTTGATAGTTATGTTCACATTTTATTGAGATTTACAAGCAATGTCATCTTTAGAAAAGTATCTCCATATAAATATTTGGAAATGTGGCAGGATGCATTGCTACAATAGCATAATATTAGGTTGTCTTATTTGTACCTTGCTTGGTAACGTTATCATTAACACTTGGTTTAATTGTTAACATTATTCTTTCTACTCTGTTGGTATGGCTCTGCTGAATGTCACAAATACACAGACAGATTTCTGTTTATTATAGATTAGTGCCTGGTGACTCTTCCTTACAACCCATTGTAAGTCAGCAACTATGTCATCAAAAGGAGGTCTGCTGGGACAGTAGGTAGTGTTTGATTGCTAAGCAAAAGGTTGGCAATTCATATCTACCACCTGTTCCTTGGGAGAAACATGGGCAGTGAAGGAAAGTACACTTCTCTTTTCAAAAATACCAAAGGTGGTGAAAGATGTCATGACACTGCTAGATGACTAATCTTTATACTGTAAAGGTCAAATCCAGTTATAATCAGGTATAATCTAAAATATCTATGAATATATCACATTCCCATATTTTTAGCAATGTTTTTCTGATTATTAATATTTGCATGGATTTCCTTTTTTAAAGTTTTACATGTTGATTAAACTTTTCTTTTTTAGCTGTGTTTTGGGGTGATATTGCCTTAGATGATGAAGAATTAAATATCTTTCAAATTGATAGAACAATTGACCTTACACAGAATCCCTTTGGAAAACTTGGGCATACCACAGGTATGTTTGATTATTTAAGTATTTGTTCATGTTGGAGTAAATGTGCTCTCAAAATGCTGTAGTCATTTTTAATGTCCTAATGATAAGCATTGATATCTTGGACACAAATTGACATGTTTAGAAAATTAGACCTTGTTGATAGTTTTACTTTTATTTAATTAATTAAATGAACACTATACTATGAACTTTGTACCATTGTTGTTGTTGTTGTTAAATGCCATAGAGTTGGTTTCAATGTATAGTGGCCCTATATAGGGTTTTTGAGGAGTGTTTGGTTGGTTTGAACTGCTGACCTTGTGGTTAGCAATCCAGTGCTTACCATGTTTAAATGTGTTATAGATGCTAATTTTTGAATCCTTAGAAAATTAAGCAGCTTATTTTCATGCAACTAGGAAGTGATTGAGCCAGGACCACAGTCAATTCTGAGAAAGCTAAAATTACATGCTCTTGAGTATTATATTCCATTGCCCCATTCAGATATTGAATTACAAAATGCAAATTATTTTTAGAACAATTATATACAATCTTACCTAGAAAAACTATATCTTTCTATTAATCTACTAATTGTTTTAGAAAACCCAGAAGATAGTTTTCATTTCATCTGTTTTGAACATGATAAAGTTATACCTGTGTGAGACATAATATTTAAAAGATTACAGAATTCTCATTTTTATGTTTTTGGGTTTTTTAAATACTTTATGTTACACTGGTAAAATGTTTATTCTATTTAGAGTAAAATGGCATGTTTAACATTTCTTTTTCCAGTTGTAATTAAAGAAAATCAATTTGATGTCATGGTTTTTGAACTTATTGTACCCTCCTCCACAGAGGTGCTATTTTTATTTTTATAATTCCTTTCTGGTACACAGCAGACACATATATTAGATACTTGAGACTTTTTTATTGTGAATGAATCCCCCTTTCTTTTGTTTGCTCAACTTAAGGATTCTTAGTGGAACTGTGGGTTAAGTATTGTGCTGCTTTATTTAATGGTTGGCAATTAAAATCCACCAGCCTCTCTATGGGAGAAAGATGAGGCTGTCTGCTGTTGTAAAGGTTTGCACTCTCAGAAAACACTTCATAGGATCAGAATCAACTAGATGGCAGTGGCTTTTGCCCAATTTACTATTATAATCAACTGTATTGTGACAAATGCCAAACAGAAAAGTTGAAAGGACAATGCAAGAAATACCAATCCAGAGTTATTACCATATTCCCTCTCTCTTTGTATATGCATGTATAAATATGTTGTTGCTAAGTGCCATGGAGTCTGTTCCGACTTATGGTTTCCGAGGCTGTAAATCTTTACGGGAGCAGAAAGCCTCATCTTTCTCACACAGAACAGCTGGTAGTTTCGAACTGCTGACCTTGCGGTTTGCAGCCTGATTCATAACTACTACCAGAGCTCCTTATATATGAGTATATGTGTGTATAAAAGAACATTGTCACATTAATTGCACACAACACAACACTTTAACATTAAACAGATTAGCATGAACTTTCTAAGAATAAGGATATTTTTCTATCTAACAAATATGGTGTGGTGCTGTAGGACAAACACTGGACTGCTAAACACAAGGTCGGCAGTTTAAGTCTATCAACTGCTCCTTGGAAAATCTATACTGATTCTCTCTGAGTCAGAAGTCAACTTGCTGGCACTTAAGGACAGCAGCAACCTGTGAAAAAGTAAAAATAATAAGCCTAGGAATTTAAAAATAATAACATCTAGAGTTTTTCAAATATTATGCTTTGTCTTGTGTTTTATATAGCGAGTGTCCTGAAATGTAGGAAAATGCTTGTTTTACAATATAAGCATAAATTAGTGCATTCCTGTAGAATGTGCTTATTAGCTGACTGTACAGATGTTGTCTCACATTTAACACTGCCATGGAAGCAATATATTCTGGATGATAGTGCAATTATGTAGCTCAGCATAACCTACATGCATCAAAAACTGCATTTTGAGTTTTTATTTAAAAAAAAAAAAGACTTATTTAGCTTCCAGCTCTTCTCATCTCTTTAGTCATCCCAACCTTATTACTATAGTGGTGGTCATTTTTCTGTGATTGAAAATGTTTTAATGCATTTATTTTACTTTGTCATTTCATGTATGGTTAAACTTCAAAATTGTAATAACTTGAAGAAAAAAATACTGCTAATTTAGAGATACAGAATAATGTATGTTATTCAGTTAGTCAACAAAACATTATTTTAAATATATATGTGAAGTGTGAATAAACTTAAATGTTCAATAGTAATTGTACTGTTCTGGTGAATTTAAAAAAACATAATAGAGATAGAGATAGAGATAGAGAGATAGATAGATAGATAGCGTACTGGTTACAAATCGGGCTGCGAGCTGCAAGGTCAGCAGTTCAAAACTACCAGCCGCTCCACAGGAGAAAGATGAGGCGGTCTGCTCCCGTAAAGATTTACAGCCTCGGAAACCCTGTGTAGGGTCGCTATGAGTCGGAACCGACTCCATGGCACATAACAACAACAACAACAATAGATAGATAGATGTAGATTTTTTTCCCATGCTCTCTCTTTTGTCTTTCTTGTAAACTTGTTTGTACTGACTTAGCTATATTTCTCATGTCCTTATTTTAAAATTATATCTGTAGCCTTTGCCATAAATATCTATTTATATAATTTATATTTAAATTTTCTTTTAATACATTTGGGAAATAACCACTTGTTTCATGAAGTTTCTTTTTGTTCTATTACAATGACTGCCTACAGAAATATTTTATTTCAATTGTTATGAAAATTACTAGAAATTTTATTATTATAAACATTTTTGTCATTGACAGTTGTAAAGTCGTTTTTTTTCCATTCTCCTCTTTATAATTATTTTAATTTTAAGTATATTTCATTTGTCTCATGGAGAATGAAAAAAATGCCTTCTTATAAATGTTATTGTATGCATTTAGACCTATCTAGTATAAAATGTAGTTGTTACTTAATGATCATATTTTAAAGCATCCATGGATTCCATACTTTGAAAGTGTATCTTGTAATTGCCTAGGAATGAAGGCATTTAAGTATTACCTCATCTCTCTAAAATGTTAAATGAAAAAATTTCAAAAATTTTTTCTCAAGGGACATGGCAAAAATGAGACCATGTAATACAAATAATTAAGCAGATTGTTAAGTCACTGAAAAAGAACTCTAAGTTATGTGCCTTATAAGGACTTATTTGATTTTTCCTTCAAGAGGCTTATAAGGCAGTAGTTTTTATTACTGTTTATATTTATTTAGGTCCAGTCAAAATAATTAATAATAATTGTAAAGGATGAGGAATAGTGGAAGGAAATCTTTCAAAATCTGAGTATAGTTCATGGTCTTCATAGATTACTTGATGTCTTTCATTATCTTAGTCCAAAGATGCTCATAAGCCACAGACAGAATTTTTGGTACAAATTCATCTGCACTGTCCTAATACCAGTAGACATTATATTTTGTATTTGCTCACTGATATCTATTTGTTATTTGTCAATCAGAATTCAAGGAGACAAAGAAAATGCAACAGAAATAGGGTAGCATTTTATTGAAACCCATGTAATTGGAATCAAAGGACTTCCATTATAGCTAAATAGTTTCTTTTCAGACTTATGGCAAGAAATTACCTTTTTTAGTCTTTGTTATGAGAAGATATACTTTCTAGTTTGTTTGTTTTTTAACCTTTTCTTTTGGTTTTGAGCTATATAATCCCTTAGCATCTATTTTTATAAACTTTGTAAATTGGAAGACAAGGAGAATATATTTTACAGTCAAATATTATTTCCTTTGGATTTTTGCCTTGTGACTTCTAGTTATGTCTTCCTGGTGCTTTTGAATCATCGAAACTGGTTTTCACAATGTTTTTGGATAATGAACTTTGACATACTTTTTAAAAGATTTCTAATTAATCACAGTTTGCCTGTGCTTTTCCAATGTTTTTATTTCCATATGTTGATTTAAATTCTGAAACAATTCTTTGTGCATAGGGAAAATAGTTAGAATGCAGTCAACAGAATAGAGCAACTAGCTGTCATGTAATAGAACACTATATGATGTCAAAGCCACAATGAAGGAAAAAATGTTTCCTGTTGTCAATAGATAATTCAGTTGTTATGATGTACTAATAAAGTTATGCTAAGAATGCTATCTTGATCTCTTCTCTTTTGACCCCTCCCCCATTATTCTAGTTTAGTTTTTTTAGTTTCTAAAACTTATTATGGAATATTTTACCCTTTTCAAATATTCATGGATATTTGTAACTCTAACAATCTAATAACACACAAAAAGTGTAGCAGTTCTCAAATATTCGGAGTTTTATTTTATTACTATAGCCTGCTTCTAAGAAATTTGAATTATGGGGCATTGAATTTCATTTTTTTCTTTTGTTCTTTAAGGTGGACTTGGAGACCATGGTATGTCAAAGAAACGAGGGGCCCTCTACCAACTTATAGACAGGATAAGAAGAATTGGCTCTGGTATATCAATGTTTAAAGTTGCAGACGCTTGACTTGATGTACAGTAAATATTATACTCATAGCAGTTCAGTTTATTGAAATCAGTATGTCATTATGATGTGAAGTATGAAAAGAATATATGTTGTGGAAGGTCTTTTTTATTATTGTTATTAGTTTGGGAAATTTTAAATGTTCCTCTAATCTATTTTAAACTTTTGATTAAAAATATTATCTATTTAATTATTTCAATTTTAATTTAATTTGTTACCTAACTAAACTAGTATCATCAAACACGGAGCTGCATCAGTTTTAATCTAATGAAAAAAATATGGCTGTTAGTTTTACAAAAAGCCTGCTTAAAATAAAAATTTTAGCCAATTTGTTAGAATATAAAAATTAGTTTAAACTATATTTGCTCAATAATATATGATGGAATTTCACTCAGAACAGTTGCATTCTGGGCTTATAATTAGTTATTTTTTACATAGTATTGAGATGATTAATAATAATTGTCGACATTAGAATTATAGATTTCAAAGTTCTCTGCTCATATCTCAGATTCTAATGTCTCTTGAATTGATGCATTATTAAATAAATCCTTAAAGATATGTAATACTTTTTGTAAGGAATACATTCCCCAAACAAGGTGCTCTGATCCAGGTTACTGTAAAGATAAAAGCATGTTAGGGGCATACGTGTAGGGGGCATACATTTAGTATTTGTTATATACATGAAGAGGTATTTACTGTCTTATTGTCATCAATTTGATTCCAATTTATTACTGAACCCATTTGTGCAAAGCAGAGCAAATCCACAAGGTTTCCAAGGCTGTGACCTCTCTCAAATAGATTTACACGCAATCTTTTGGCTAATATGCTGTTCGGTAAATCATGCTTTATTACATAATGTGGATCTCGACAAAATTAAAATGGAGATAACCCAGATTACAACCCAAATAACCCAGATGACAAAATCTTTATCTATCTTACTTCATTTCTTTGAATATCTATACAGTGTAATATATAAAAATACAAGCTATACTAAAGTATATCAGATTTAAAAGTATATTTAATTAAAAATATTAGAAATTTAGCAGAAAAACAACAACAACAGCAAAAAACAAAACAAAACAAAACAAAAACCCTATTGACTGTTATGTGACTTTATTTGGACTTGCCATGAGTGGAAATTGACTTGACAACCACTTAAATTATTATTAAACAAATCTACATTATCACTTAATGATCAACTGATAGTGATCTAGACATCTGTAACTGTTACAGACAACTATAGTAAATTAGAACATATAATATTCTTGTGGCATGCAAAAATTCACCAAAATTTGCTCATAGAGCATTAGGAATAAATATTTTGACATGAAATATTTTGGTATTGTAATTCTTCATATATGTAATATGAGTAAAACTTTTCTTTAGTGTATTTCAATTGCAGGCATAGCTGTACAAGTATGTAAATAAGCCATTTCATCTTTTGTCCTTTAAAAAGTTAACCATTCCCTGAGGGAGGACTGCTGTTTCACAGAATATTTTAAATGTCACTGCAGGCTTGGAGCAAAACAACACAGTTAAAGGAAAAGTACCTCTAAAATTCTCAGGGAAAAATGAGAAAAATCGAGTACCCAGAGCTGCTACATCAAGAACTGAAAGAATATGGCCTGGAGGTGTTATTCCTTATATAATTGGAGGCAACTTCACTGGTAAGCTATTCCCAGAATTTCTATTTTGTTAGAGAAGTAATAACTATATACAGAATACTGCATATTTCATAGAATATTACATATAAAACATAATATTAAATCAAACTTGAAGACTATCACATTAGGTTATTAGTTCGGAATATTATTGAGATTGAAAAATACCTTTAGCTTTGCATTTTAAGAAGCTGAAGTAGCACTTTAAACTGTGTTTCAAATGGACTCATTATATCTGGCAACTGATCTCTCTTCAACTGACAGGAAGAATGTAGGCCCCATGTATAGAACCTTGTATACACATAATGCTTTTAGAGATAGTGAGAAATAACCTTCTGATTATCAGGTGAGTGCCCTTTCTTAACAATGACTCATTTATGGTGCTATGAGCTTGCATTCTTTGGTTGATAATAGTGGCGGCATTTTGAACTGTCCAGCCAGATTTGGGATAGAGGAGACAGCACGATTTATTAATGCCATACAATTTTCCAGGCAGCCAGCGAGCCATGTTCAAGCAGGCCATGAGGCACTGGGAAAAGCACACGTGTGTGACTTTCATTGAAAGAAGTGATGAAGAAAGTTACATTGTATTCACATACAGGCCTTGTGGGTAAGTAGAACCAGGAAGTGACTTAATTATGTTAATTAGAAAGAAAGACTTACATGTTTAAAAATCCATTCATTTCCTAATACTTGCTTATTGTACTATCCATGACTCATTTGGATTTTACATACTATATTTTAGATACATATCTTCTTAGATAACATACTTTCTTGCATGAAACCCATGTTCATTCTTTTACTACCTCAGCTACCTTCTTTTTATTCTAACTATAATTATGCATTGCCAATGTCCCACTCCTAGGTTAGAAACTTCAGCATTGTTGTGTATTAATTCTGTTGCACTTCTTCCTAAATGTTTCTTGATAGTCATTATTTATTTACTTGTTTGAGTTCAAGGCAGTGTTTTGTTCTGTTATGCAGAGGTTTACTATCAGTCAGTGGTAGCTAACAACAACCACAACAACCTAATAACAGTACGCTATTCACTCATGTCTTTATATCTCACATTAAGTCTAGTTCAGTGACTTCACAATTCACTGCCACCAAAATTATCTTCTTAATGCACAGGTCAGACCAATTTACTACTTTAAATTATCTTCTTAATGCACAGGTCAGACCAATTTACTACTTTTAAAAACTGTTTAGATATTTTTGTATAATTTTGGTTTCTGGATTGCTTCTTGCAGTACAACAACTAATCCTAAAACACACACACAAAGAAACAAAAAAAAAAAAAAAAAAAAAAGATTCTACAAGTAGTGAAAATGCTACGTTAAATCTCAGTAGATCATTTCAGCAGCTAAGTGTTAATGACCATTATGGACAATCAACCAATTGGAAGGAATATTGAGTAGAGTTTTCTAAGCTGATTTTAAAATGGCATTCCTATTTTCAACTCTTAATTTGTTTGTTTTAAAATGGAGAAACATACATTAATATCCAATGACATATTTTGGAAAATGCTGGCTTAAGAGTAAGATCCAAATTCCTTGATATGGCCTCAAAGGAGGAATGCCATGAAGTGACCATGACTTCCATTTTCACCTTCTTCTGCCACCATATCTCTCCACACATCCCATGATTCAGACATGATTGGATAATACCGGTTCTCAAAACAGTTCTTCATACTTTATAAGACTTTTATTTTTGCAATGAGCAGTCTTCAAGTTTATTAAAAACCCATATACCAATCTATCAGAAGTATCCATTTTTGGTTGTCTTGTTTTTTTCTTAATCGCTTCCTTTTAAAATTTTTCTTTGCTATTGCTATTGTTATTTCTGTACTGTTTTAAAGCAAATTTCTGCCATCATATAATTTCACTTAGACATATTTTAGTATATATGACTACATCCTAAAACCATTTTACATGAATATAGTATCATGAATAATAAAATTAAAAATAATTGTTTAATTTCATCTAATGTCCTGTCCATCTTGTGTGACTAAGCACTGGACTGCTAATCACAAGGTCAGCAGTTCAAATCCATAAGCAGCTCCTTGGAAACCCTATACAGTATTGCTATGAACTGACAGAACAGCATTTAAAAATGCCAATATATAAAACCCAAATCCATTGTTGTCAATTCAGTTTAGACTCATGGAGACCCCATGTTTTTCAGAGTAGAGTTTTCAATGGCCAAGTCTTTTTTTCTGAGACAACCCTGAATGGATTTAAACTGTAAACTGTCAACTTTTTGGTTAGTAGCTGAACTATTAACCATTTGTTCATCCAGGGGTCCCGTAATCTATATAGACCTTTCTATAGTCTTGGTGTGGCACTGTGGGTTAATGTGCCAGACTGCAAAGCCGTTTGAACTGCAAGATCAGTGGTTTAAGCTCACTAGCTGCTCCTTGGAAACCCTTTACAGGGTCGCTATGGGTCGGCACCAACTCAACGGCACTCACAACAACATATAGATATAGTAACCTTTCTGTATAATAACACACACACATATATATAGTAACTTATAGTAAATATTTCTAAAGTAAAAACATTTTTAAAGTAACTTTGTCAGTTACTTTAGAAATGGTTCTTGACAGTTGATTTGCTTGAGTCAGGATCCAAATAAGCTCCAGTCGTATCATTCATGTCTCTGGATCAATAAACAGCATTCTTATCAAGGGAAAAAAGATTGAAGTTGTCAAAGACTAAGGAGCTCTGGTAGCGTAGTGGTTACAAATTGGGCTGCGAACCACAAGGTCAGCAGTTTGAAACTACCAGCCGCTCCGTGAGAGAAAGATGAGGCGTTCTGCTCCGGTAAAGATTTACAGCCTTGGAAACCCTGTTCAGGGTCGCTATGGGTTGGAACCAACTTGATGGCACTTAACAACAACAACAACATCAACACTCATGGAAGCAGCAGTCAAGAAATCAAATAACGCATTGCATTAGGCATATCTGCCTATTTAAAGTGTTGAAGAGCAAAGATGTCAGCTTGAGGACTAAGGTACACCTGACACAAGCCATGGTATTTTCAATAACCTCATATGCATGCAAAAGCTGGACAGTGAATAAGGAAGTCCATAGAATTGATGTTTTTGAGTTGTGATGTTGGAGGAGAATATTTAAAGTGCTATAGGCTGCCAAAAGAGCCAACAGATCTGTGTTGAAAGAAGTGCAGCCAGAGTGTTCCATGGAGGCCAGGATGGCCAGACCTCATCTCTCATACTTTGGACATATTGTCAGGAGGGACCTCTCACTGTAGAAGGATATCATGTTTGGTAAGGTGGAGGGTCAGAAAAAAAGAGGAAGACCTCCAGCGAGATGGATTGGCCAAGTGGGAGCATCAATGGACTCAAGGGTGGCAACAATAGTGAGGTTGGCCCAGGATCGGGCAGTGTTTCGTTCTTCTGTGCATAAGGTCGCTATGAGTTATTGAGTCAATGACACCTAACAACAACAGCAAGGTATTTCTATTTCTAGTTTTCAGAAATAAGCACCATTGTTATTTTTCATTGTGGTTATACCTTTTTATAAACCCACCAGCAGTATGTAAGAGTATAAGAATTAAAAACTTCCCATTTCCTTTTATTAAAGAATGATGTTGGGATTTGGATTGGGATTGCATCAAATCTGTAGATCACTTTGCATAGTATTGACATTTTTGCAATGTTAAATCTTCCAAACAATGAGCATTCAGTGCTTTCCCATTCATTTTGTTCTCTTTGGTTTGGGGCAGTAGTGTTCTATAGCTTTCTTTGTGTATGTCCCTGGTTAGGTTTATTCATAGTTATTTGATCCTTTTGTTGGCTATTATATGTGCTATTGCTTTGGGGTTTTTTTTTTGTTTTTTGTTTTTTTTTCTTTCTGTAGTTCTCCTCTTTATGTAGTATAGTGGAACCCAACACATTTTTTTGTGTTGATCATGTAACCTGTCACTTTGTTGAATTCCTCTATTTGTTCCTCCACAAGTAGTTTTCTTGTGGAGTCTTTGGAATTTTCTATGTATAGGATTATGTCATCTGAGAATAAAGGAAATTTCGCTTCTTCCTCACCAATTTGGATACACTTGATTTCCCTCTCTTGGCTTATTGTCTGGCTAGAACTTCCTTTGCAATATTGAATTAAAGCAGTGATAATGGGAATCTTTGTTTTGTTCCCATTCTCAAGGAAATCCTCTCAAACTTTCTACTTTGAGACTAATGTTGGCTATTTGTTTTGCATATGGTGGCCTTAATTACATTGAGGAATTTTCATTGTATCCCTATTTTGTGGGGAATTTATATCAGGAAAGGCTGTTAGGATTTTTTTTTTTTTTTTTTTTAACAAATGCCTTTTCTACATCAGTTGAAATGATTATGTGGTTCATTTCTTTTGTTTTATTTATTTTGTTATGGTAAATTTTGTAGATTGTTTTTCAAACTATCTTTGCTTCCTTGCTATGAATCCCACCTGATCTTGATGTATTATTTTCTTGAAAGTTGTTGAACTCTGTTGGGTAGAATTTTGCAGAGAATCTTTGTATTTCTCTTCATAAGGGATATCTGTCTGTAGGACCTGGCTTTGATACCTGCCACTGGTATGGTGGTTGTGCTAGTCTCATGGAATGAACAAGAGCACATCTCTTCCTTTTATACATTTTGAAATCGTTTGAGTATAACTGGTGTCCACTCTCTTCTGAATGCTTGATAGAATTTTTCAGTGAAACTGTTGTGACTCAGGCTATTATTTCATTGGGAGATTTTTTGTTTGTTTATTTAATGACATCTTCATGTTCCACTATTGTGATAGATCTATTTAGATTTTCTACCTATATTTGCTTAAGATTATGTGTGTAGTATGTTTTATATATTTGCTCATATCTTCTAGGTTTTTAAATTGGTGTAAGTATACTTTTTCATATTACTGTTATGACCAATATTATCTTAGTGGTTTCTCCTCAATTATTATATCTATTTAATAATTAATGATCTAATTCTGTACCATCCTTCCCTCCTTTTGGTTATCTAAAGGGGGAAGACTTAACTTCAGGTTATGTACTTTAAATATTTAATATATTCAAAGTAATACATTTTTCCTCCTTCCCATGTTTTCAGTCTTATAAAACATACCCAAATCACTTATTAATTTACTGTTTCTGTTTGTCACAAATCATTATTTCTATTCATTTTTTTTCTATTAATTTGGCTATTTTTTATTTTCCATTTTATGTGTTTTATCCTGCTCAGCTATTTTTCCCATTTACTTATAATGTCTTCATGTGTTCATGATATTGTAACTGCTTGGAATGTCTCCACTTTCATTTGCTAGGAGTTGAATGCATCCACATCTTTATGCTCAGTTATTTCTGAGCGTCTCACAGTGGGATCTTATGCTTCTATGCTGTGGGTTAATATGCTGGACTGCAAAGTCAGTTTAAACTGCAAAGTTGGTGGTTCAACCTTACCAGCTACTCCTTGGAAACACTATACAGGGTTGCTATGGGTCAGAACTGACTCAGTGACATTTAACAACTAGAAATAACAACAATGCTTGATGTGGCACTGTGGGCTAATGTGCTGGACTGCAACGTTGGTGTGAACTGCGAGGTCTGCGGCTGAAGCTT